TTTTCTTTAATTTTAATTTTTTTTTTTTTTTTTGAGACAGTGACTCGCTCTGTTGCCCAGGCTACAGTACAGTGGTGTGATCATAGTTCACTGTAACCTCTAACTCCTGGGCTCAAGCAAACCTCCTGCCTCATCCTCCCAAGTAGGTAGGACTACAGGCATGCACCACGTCTGACAAATTTTTAAATTTTTTTTGTAGAGATGGAGTCTTGCTATGTTACCCAGGCTGGTCTTGAATTTCTGGCCTCAAGTGATCCTCTCGCCTTGGCCTCCCAAAGTGCTTGGATCACAGGTGTGAGCTGCCATCCCAACCCCAGGCACTGTTTTAAAACCTGAGGATACAGTGGCACAGAAGAAAGACAAGATCCCTGCCTTCATAGAGTTAAATTCTAGCAGGAGAAGACAGGTAATAAACAAGTAATCATGTGAACCAGAAAGGTTTCTGAAGAAAAAAAAACAGATTAAGAATACAGATAATGACTGGGGGTGGGTACAGTTTAGATAAAGACATTGGGGATTAATATTGGGACCAGAGTTCCACGAATAAATCACTCCTCAACACTTGAGTTCAAATAGTGTCACATTTTTTAGTTTCCTCAATTCAATAAGAAGAGTTTAAGCCCCTACCTGCCACAGTTGGTGGGAAGTCTGTTACCAGTTATTTTAGTTATCCTCCCCTTCCCTAGATTGTGCAGTTTATACCAAGGGCTTCACACCATCTCTCAGCTTTTGCATATCTCTGCTGCTCTTGCTCCTTATGACCACACGATGTCACTGTTGGGGAGCCAGTGTGCTGGTTGATGCCTCATCTAATTAGGGCAATTCAAGATCCGCCTGTCTAGCTCTGTAGGGGTAGAGGGGACGTGTCGGAAATGGGTCTGCAATAGCTCCATCTGGGAAAATTCGGGATCCTCCTGCAGGCTACCAAGACTAGTGCTGAGAATGCACCAGCTTCCCGGCAGCCACCCCTTTCAAGGCTCTGCCGTCTCAGAGGGGGTGGTATGAGCAGGCTCAGTTCTCTATCCTCAAGGAAAAATAAATTCTTGTTTTTCCAAATCCCTGGCAATCTACCCGATTTCCCCATTTCAACCACCAAACAAAATTAAGAACTTAACTGTGCATTTCCCACATAAAATGTCTTGACCCCTAGAAACCCAAAGGCTTGGCTAATTTTGGGAGGAAGAGGAATGGTACATTTTACGTCTACAGTAGCAAATAATAAAATCAAGTTAAAACAAAATTAGTTCAATTTCTTAATAGCTCATTTTGTTGCATTATGTTCTCTGTTGTCGCTGCTAGTTATTATTACTAATATTATTATAAATTAAGGGGAGTTAAGACACTGACACAGAGTACCTGCTTGTTATCCAGCATGTGTAGATTTAGGAAGCTGCTTTAAGCAAGTGAAGGGGACGCTGGTGGATTACTAAAACTCAGAGTTTGGTTCTCAGCTTATCAGGCCAGAGGTACAAATTTATTTTGCAATCCAGCATGATTAAGCTGATCTGCAATAACCAAACTCAGAAAGCACTTATTAACTCAAGTGCTGGATTCATTAATTTCTCTTAGAAATCTAACTGCTAAGTGGTTAGAATAGTCTAGCTAGACAGTTGGAACATTTTTCATCCTGCTACAAAGTCTACATGGGAAGCCAAAGTAAGATCTTAAAGTATAAGAAAATAGAGTAGTGGAAATTGGGTAAAGATAATGGGCGGGATTTATTTAACAAAGTATGCCCATTTTTGCTGTGATATTCCTCGTACATGGGTAAAAATATATACATTCCTGGTAGGAAATTTCTTCCTTAGTTAAGTACTGGAGATCCTTTTGACTTTCCTTTGTTGCAAGTGGAGGAATAACATAACCTCCGCATGGAAGAGAAGTCAAAAGCCCAGGCTAGAGTACTAGTCCACTAGTACTGCCAGCACTAAAGTGTCCTCTACCACCTTGCTGTCTATCCTTAACTGACCGAGACTTTAGTAAGTCCAGTGACAAGGAACTCCTATATCTCAGGCAACTCTGTTTTTGGACAACTTTGACTGATAGAAAACTTTTCTTTATACTGAGATCAAACTGTCTCTATGATTTCCAATATGTGGTTCTCCTTCAGCAACATCTCTAAAACAAGAGTCCTGTATTTCTATGTGTATATATCCTTAGACTCTAACTCCAGCCAGACACACAAGACTGACTCATCTAGGATTTCTCCCACAATCTCTTTTCAATCCAGGCATTGCTGCTTTATACAGCTATTCCTCATGGTATG